ACAGGCTTCGCGTCGTTCGGATAAGTTTTTGCACGAGGAAAAGACACTTTGCGCACATGTTGGGAACAAAATTTTTCCTACGAATTTTTACCGCACTTAGTGTACATGGGGAGTAGCTGAATGGTAGGGATGTTTGTTTGTGGATGAATGCAGATTACAAGAATAAAGAATATGAACAATATCAAGCGTATTTTTAAAAGAGTGCGGTAGAGCAGTTTCATCTACGAGCGTGCGGTAACTAAGGTCAAAGAACTTATCACACTATTTTGCGTGCGGTATGTACCATATAACCGCACGATGTGTGGTATTTTTTTTTACCGCATGGCGTGCTGTAATAGCGTGTGGCATAGTTTAGAGATTGAAGTTTACCGGTAATTTTCATCTGTTCTTTCTCAGTGATAATTTACCGGTAATTTTTCGGTTATTTTGGTAAATATGACAATGACTATAACTAATTAATTTAAGCGCACAGGGTTGGCAAAAACCCGGGTTTTTGAAAATTTCTATTGGTTTGTTGGGTTTTTGCGGGAGTTATGCTTTTGTAGGATTTTTGTGTTTTAAGATTTGAGATTTAAGAGATAAGACTCTTTGACATTCCAAATAATCTCAAACTCATAACTCAACAACAACCCACCAGGTTTTTGAAATAGGTTTTTCCTACGAGCACAATGTTCTAATTCAAAATATAGGTACTACATATTTTTTACATCAAATTACTATCTATAGGTCTCGCTATAGGTACTATTTTCCATGAGAAAACCTAAATCTTACATAGATTTTTTGATAAATGAGATGGACAAAAATACTTGTGGAAAAACATTACACCTAACTTCTACGGAAAATATCTTTTTCACCATTGACAGCTTGCCAACTGCCGTCGAGTGCGGAAAAGCACCACTTTTCGCACTTGTTAGGTGAATAACTATTTGTTTATGCCAACCCTGAAAGCGCGTTACTGATTCACAACAAGATGGCGAATAATACAAGAAAAGGATTGTCACCTGAATGGATTTCATTTAGGAAGCATTTCTGAAAATTACCGGTAAAGTTTGTCGGGTTAAATTACCAAAATTACCGTTACCGCGGTAACGTTACCCACACTTTAAACTCTAGTATAGTTATTTACCTAACAAATGCGGAAAGTGATACTAACAAGTGCGGTAAAGGCACTTTTCGCATGTGTTAGGTACAAAATTTTACCTATGAGCATCTACATTCCAAAAAAAAGGCATTTATAAAATTAATTAATGAATCAGATTAATTAATGAAATTAGATTAGATTTAGAAATGATCAACAATCCATTTTCAGAAAAAGAAAGGATTTTTAATCATAAATACCAAAGTCTACTTTAGCGCATACTATGCGGTAAAGTTAACTTTAACGCACACTTTGCAGTCCACTTTACCGCATACTATGCTGTAAAGTTAACTTTGCCGCACACTATGCGGTAAAGTAACTTTACCGCATAGTGTGCGGTGAAGTGCCATTTTCCATTTGCAAATACGTGCGGTAAACTGCACTTTACCGCACGCTCGTAGGTAAATATTATTACCGCACGCTCTACCTGCCTTCAATTAACTACCTATCACCTAAATTCTACCCGTCCACTGTCAAATTAATGCGCCAGAAGCAGTTTTATTTTCTATAATTTTTCAAACTTCTATCGAATATTTTACTACCGCACGGTTGTAGATAGAATACTGTATATAATTCGTATGGTAATTAGATTATGTCCGCCCTTAGAGATTGCAAATCTCGCCTCACCGGCTCGGTTTGCAAATTTCTCCCGCGTGCGGTAATAACCTAAATACCATACTTGTTTTATAATATACTATTACAGCACTGCGGTAAAGAATTTTTATGTACGACCCACACTGTAAGTGCTTATTACGTAACTCATTTAAGCCTGTTTGAGTTACGTAATAAGTTGTATTATCGTACTTAGTGATGTAATCAGCTCATTACATCACTAGTGATTATATTACATCACTTGTGATGTAATGCGCTCATTACGTAACTCATTTTCATTGAAAAACGGCACTTTTTAAAATTAATTTATTCGGAAAAGTTATAAATTTAATCTATTGTGAAAAATAAAAACCATTTGGAATACATACAAAAAAATCTGCGTCGTACATAAAATGTTGTATATCACATGTACGGTAACGCTCATTACAACACTCGTGAGATTACCACTCGTTACTGTGATAAATGAAGCTCATACCGCACTAGTGATATAAATAACTATTACCTATTACCTACGAGCGTGCGGTAAACACCTTCATCGCACTTATTTGTAAATGGAAAGTAGCATTTTACCGCACACTATGCGGTAATAGTTATTTATCTAACAAATGCGGAAAGTGATATTTTACTGCCCGCAATGGCAGTTGACTGAATGACGCGAAGCGAAGTTTGGTCAAGCCGATGAGGGCGGTAGAGGCACTTTCCGCCTGTATTAGGTACAAAATTTTCCCTATGAGCACCTACACACCCAAAAAAAAGGCATCAATAAAATTATTCAATAAATTAGATTAATTAATCAGAAAGGACAAAAAATATCTTTTCTGGAAAACAAAAGATTTTTGATTATAAATACCAAAGTCTACTTTACTGCACACTATGCGGTAAAGTAACTTCTCAGCACTGAGTAGGCTTCCTACGGCACGCAAATGAGTGCGGTAAAGTGCACGCTACCGCACGGCGTGCGGTAATAATATTACCGCACGCTCTATCCACATGGGTACGTAATACCTTCAAACGCCTACCAAAGATAAATTACCTACTTACCACCTAAATTCTACTTGTCCACTGTCAAAAGTGAAAGGCGCATTTTTTTATAATTTTTTAAACTTCTTGTAGATATTTTGTTACCGCACGATTGTAGATAAAATACTGTATAATACGTATGGTAATTACGCTATTACCGCCCTTAGAGATTGCAAATTTTTCTCGCGGGCGGTAATAACCTAGTTGCCACACCTATTAATTATATTAAATAATGTAATATTACCATTTCACCTAGATTTTTTTTATACGAAGTCGTCAATTTTTACGTTCAGTAGTAAACGTAATCTTTTCTTATAAAAAATTTCTGAAGTTTTACCGAAGGGTTTTACCCAGTTTATTTTCAAAACACAAAAGGCAATGCAAAAACTCTTCGACGGCACGGGCCAGTCAAAACAATTATTGAGATAAGAATAAATATTTTATTCCCTGGACGGTGTCGAGGCGCCGGCGGGGGGTTGGCGGGACTGTTCTCAGTGTTGTCCCGCCATAGAATATGTAGTTGCGATTGCATGAATTGATCCAAAATAATACATTTTCTGTTTATTTATGTTTAACAAGAATGTACGCGTTTAACAAAAAAAAATATATTTGTAGAAAATGTTAGTATTTTAACAAAGAATTATGAAAAGTATTTTAAATTCTTACTTTTTTTTTTGAGAGGCGACATAATTTCTAGAACTCTTCTGTGATTCATCATCTATAATCCCACCAAATTTCATTGATTTTGATCCAATACTATAGACGTAAATCAAAATATAGTTTAACCCGTCGCACAGAGGTACCCAGGCCTCTTAATAGTTATTTTCCAGCATTTAATAAATTTGACATTATTTGTTATGTCTTGGTTCGCTACACTCATAATTTTGAGCTGACTAAGAAAATCAATGGTTTCTTTAAAAAAATCAATTTGAAACTGGAAACTGTTTTAAACTTGATAGGGTTTTTCAAAGAAAATGCGTTAAGCATGTCGAAAAGGTTATTAAATCTTTCAATTACTTCAATTATTGCAAAGGCTTCAGAAGAAAGAACACCCAAACCTATGCAAGTGTTCATTCCACTGGCAACAGTGTGGCTAAGAATTTGAGAGGCGGGGGGACGTACCTTTAGTTTTTCAAAATTTAAAGGATGTAAATGTGAATCTGTCAATTTCGGTGCACACCTATAGTTATGTCGGTTTTATAAATAGTGTCTATATATGCTCATGAAGTTTTTTTCCTTCCAAAATGAAAAGAATGTTTTTAAAGATTATTTCTTGTTGCTTTAACAAGATGACATGGATCAAATATATATATTAAATTATGAATGCCTATTTTAAAAGGATGAGGCAAGTTCTAAGAAATTTGAACCCATGTCACTTTAATTGCTTCAACACGAAAACCTATTTCTGACATCTTTAAAACACAATCTTCCATAATAGGCTTTATTTCAGATGCTTTCAACTGATTTCCAACAAAAAAGTAAGCCAATGGTTGTTTCCATGGTGAATATAGACCCCTAGCCATGATAACCAAAGCATTTTTGCATATCGACGAGTCGTTATAATCTTTGCCAATATCTTGAAATTCAACATTTTCATTCTTTCCTGTATCATATAACAGGTTGGATTTTAAAGACATTTCGTCAATGCATAAAATGCAATGTTTGTCTTGGTTAAACATGATTTTTGATCTAAGTTCAAGAGCCTTGAATATGCCTTTATTATTTAGTCCTGGCTTACAAGAAAGCTGGTCAGTTAAACGCTGTAAAGTTATTTTTGTAGAAAGAGTCAGTAATTTACTCAAAAAATTATAGGCTCGAGGACTTGAAAAATAAATGCTTAAAGCAAATTGCTTCATTTCCTTAGAGCTTCTATGGGAAAAGGGAACGGCGTTTTTTACCTTTCATTCCTGTGTGCGATTTGATAATGTCAGCAAGAGGGCTACCTAGAAACATATGACATAATACATGGAAGTGTTCAAGGGAACAGGTATCTTCCTTGAGGCTTAGGCGTTTTTTTAAGTCATTTATCTTAGTTTCCAGCTTACTTTTCCGTGGTGAATGAGAACTAAGAGAAAGAGGTGTTTGGGTAGAGATTGACCGAGTAAGCTGTGATGAGGATGGAAGGCTCCTTTCTTGTATTACTTGGGGTGGCTCACAAACAGCATCCTTTGAAGTACTTGGACTATGCTGCAGAAGAGGTCCCAAATATTAAATTTAAAAAAATACTCACCATAATATAAATCCATTGACTGTTTTTTACGTGCTGCAGGCTGTTGTTCTTCACACGCAGTAGGCTGATTATCAGAGGCATCAATTACAGATTTAATTGTGACATCTAGAACAAAATTTAAAATTAATATTTGGATAGGCATAGATTAGGCGTTTAGATTTTCGTATAGGTTGACAAATAAAAATTACAAACCTGACAAAATAATCACTTTTTTGGGTGGTTCTTCAGAGACTCGTTCAGAGTCTTTCTGCTCTTTTTAAGAAAAATAGTTGGCAAAGCATTTCCAGATAATGTTGGCCTGTAGTTGGTTTTGAAGAAAGATTCAACTTTGGGAAGTGGATCACTTCTGTAGCAAGCCTTCGCCCAAAGTTCAGCACTAAAACAAAATTAAAATGAAGCCAGTGGCCTGAAATATTTTCTCAATTTCCTATTTTCAAAAACAATAAATTATCCATATGATAAGAAAAGCGGATAAATGTGTAGTTTCCAACTAAAGCAAAGTAGGTAGGTATAAATAGGAATATATTTTCTTATATTTAGTAGGTAGGTGTGGGAAAGCACATCTTAGACAATTACAAAACAATAAAATCAGCAAACATTTCTCTAAAATGTTCTGGGAAAGGATGCTTGGACAATTAAAAGCCTGCTAACCCTTCTAAAATCATGTACCTATCTAGCAATTTAATTTTTTCAAAACTGACCTGGATTAGAAAATACACATCTTTTGGGCTGCCTTTGAGTAGGTTAAAGTTACTTTCCTGGGTGAAAACAACTAAATTATACTTCATGCATCACTTAAAGGAAAAATTTGGAATAATTGAATAATTACACATGGTTTATTTCCCAATTTTAACTTTGTGCTCGATACCTTCGATGCTCAATTATTCGGGTTTATGTAAATAAACAAAAAACATAACCTAGTTAAATGTGGATTCAAACTTAAAAACAAATAAAGAATTTTAGTTTAGGTACTTAACTAAAGTGAAATATAAATGGTCTCTTGGACCGCCAATTCATTGTTTTCCATATATTTCACCAGCAAACATTAAAATATTGGAAAATAAACATTTTCAAACTATGATTTTTAATACAGGTGCAAATGTGCAATATAGGTACTTACCACTCAGGATCTTTTGGGAAAGAAAACATAGCTATTTCTTGTCCAGTTGTTGTGTGATATCCGCGAAAGGCACACTACTTACTAGGCATTTTTCTTTTCTATTTTCACTTTTAAAACACGTCCGCTCAACACAAAATTCAAACTCGAATTAAAATTTGGGATTAGGTTTCGTACTTAGCGGCGACAAGAACCAATTGATAGATAGCCCTCATTCCCCCGCCCTAACTATTCGGCGCGAAATTGCTATTGTCGCTTCTCTATAGTTTGGTTATGCTCTGGTTAAGTTATTAAAATTCTGCATAGTAATAAAAAACATCTGTAATAGAACAAACTAATACTTTTTAATAGTTGTTGCACTTGCAGTAAATTTTATTGTTCAAGTCATTTTCAGACACTACAATTTCTTTATCTGTTAGAATATACAGGGGACAGGGCCTAGTCTAGTTCGGAAATTTTTGTTTCGTAGTCAGTCACGTTCATGATTACCGTTGCGTTTCCTTTATTCGCAGGCAGGACTAGTACGTTCTTGTCTGTATTCAGGCTGTGAATAGCTTTCCTTTCCTCGTATGTCAGATTGCACTTTGGAGGTTTCGCTAGTCGTAGAATCGTATATGTTTCATTGCGTATTTCCCTCGCATTGTTTAAGGTAATGTTCGTATGCTGACTTCCACATTTGCTTTGATATCTTTGAATTAGAGGTGTTTCGGTATTCTTGCAAAATTGCCTCCTTTTCTTATTTTTGACCGAATCACCATAGCTCACAGTACTTATAGTATACGTGTGAGCTAATAACTATTCACTATCACTAGTCTAGTCAGAATCGAAGTTTATAATTACGGGCTGCACTTTACTCACAGAAATGATTGTGTTTTTTTTTCCTTGTCATATGCGGCCCTAATTACCTCATCCGTATGTTTTACATAATGTGCCCATTGGTCTTTGGACGCAATATCTAGCGCCTTCTGCCATGTCTTGGAACAGGGCAAAGTCTCCAGGACCCTGGTACAATGCTCTGACTTTTCCGAGGACTTTTTTGTCATCGCTAATACCAAAATCGGCACTGAAAGTCGTAATAAGTGTAAGTTTTAAGTATTAGGTTTAACTTACCTAAAGACGTTAAAATAAACCAGATAAAAGTCTTAAAAGAGTCCAAAGTGAACAGTTATAAAAAAAGTAAACACTTGCATCTAAACTAAATACAGGTTTGAAACGCAATACCGAAACACAAAGGCACAGAACACTACATAAAAAAACAAAAAACCTATTGCGGATATGATAAAATATCAAAAAATAAATAAAAATGCGATTGTTCTCGAAGCATGGTAGTAGTAGTTTTTAATTGCTATATTCTAGTCAAAGTAAACTTTAAGTACTGAATGGACATGGTTTCCTTTTTTGATTCCCAATTCTCATATTTATTTTAAGTTTTGTGGTAACAGCTAGGCTACAGACGCAATATCACCGGTGTTGCCGATTACAGTTGATCAATTATCACAACTATTGAATGCTAGGACTCATAAGTAGCTTCAATAGCTTGAAGTTTTTTCTTCAATTTCGGCAAAATCTGTAAGAAGACGAATAGAAGATACTCTATATTTGAAGCTCACTTTATTACTTTCTGTCAAGTTTCGACATCTGTCGCTAGTTACCTTTTCCTACCTATAATATATCTACTAGTACATCCCCCTTTCTTCACAAACACAAACTTAACTAAGTAACAACAAAAGAATACATAATAAATATGATTTTACAGATTAGGTAAACGTTTTAAATATCTTCTATTTCTTCTATATATCTGTCCATTGTTTGTTTCAACCTTATAAGATCGAGGAGCCACTTCATCTTGAACGAATGCTTCTTTTTGATTATCTGAAATCCATACCCTCTGCCCTCTATCGTATTGTCCAACATTCCGCGCTCTATGTCTTTGGTCAAAATAGTATTTCTGTTGCTTCTTCTCTTTTTCCTTATTCTCGTTAATTTTTTTTAAATCTGGCAATTTTGATTTCAAAAATGATTTTGGAACTTCTATTTGCTCTCGTAAATTTTTTCCCATCAAAAGTTGACTTGGACTCGCGCCACAACTCAGAGGTGTATTTCTGTAGGCAAGTAATCCTAAGTTGAAATCCTCTGACCTTTTAAGAATCTTTTTAGCTGTTTTAACACCACTTTCTGCCAAACCATTTGATTGTGCATGATATGGGCTGCTTGAACGCCATTCAAATCCATAAGTTTTTGCAAAATTTTTGAAGAATAAACAATTGTATTGGGGTCCATTATCCGTACGTAATATTTTTGGAATTCCAAATCTGGCAAATATTTTCTTGAGTTCTTCTACTATAGTTGCACTAGTTGTATTTTTCAATTCAATTACTTCCAAAAACAAACTATAATAATCTTGTACAACCATATACATTTTGTTTTTAAATTGGAATAAATCAGATCCAACAATCCACCAAGGTAGACTAGGGATTTCCAAATTTAAAATCGGTTCAGTCACAAGAGGTTTATCTTTTATACATATCTCACAATTTTCAATAAGATCTTTAATTTGAGAAGTTATTCCTGGCCACCAAACCATTTTTTTGGCTCTTGCAATACATTTTGTAATTCCTAAATGTCCTGTGTGTATAAATTTCAGATATTTTCTTTTTAAATTTGATGGAACTATTATTTTATCATTGTACATAAGTAAATTTTCCACCAAAGCAATTGCTGTCCTATATTTATAAAATGGAAGTAGCTCTTTATCACATAAATTTCTATTTTCAGGCCATCCTTTAAACAAATACTCTTTCAACTTGATTAACGTCAAATCTTCTTGTTGGGCTTGCTGTAAATCCTGATATTCTTCTGTAATTGTCAGACTTGCAATAGTCTTAAAATTTTCTTCCAATATATCTAGATCTTTGTTGTTCCAATAGGTAATGGAGCTCTGCTAAGCGCATCTGGTCCAGTAAGTTCTTTCCCAGGTATGTAAGTCACAAAATAATCATAAATTAGAAGTTTCATTCTGAAATTTTGCAATCTTACTGTTAATTCGTTAATAGGTTTCTTTGTTAAAATTTCTACCAGAGGCTTATGATCAGTTCTAATTTCAAATTGTTTTCCTAATAAAAATTGCCTAAAACGATTAACAGTATACGTTATTCCTAGAGTTTCTTTTTCTATCTGACTGTACCCTTTTTCTGGTTTACTTAGTGACTTGGAACAATAAGATACAGGTCTCCAATTTCCATCTGGTTGTTTTTGTTCAATTATTCCTCCTATCCCTAGCATAGAAGTATCTGCAGATACTCTGATGTCATATTTAACATTATATGCTGCAAAAATTGGAGCTTCTGTTAACATTTTTTTTATATCGGAAAAACATTTTTCTTGTTCTGGACCCCATATAAATTCGTTATTTTTTTGCAACAATTCTCTTAAAGGAGACGTTTTATCTGAATATTTATTTAAAAATTTTGTAATATATGTCGTTAATCCTAAGAACCTTCTAACTTCCGATACTGTTTCCGGTTTTGGAAATTTCGTAATTGCTTCTACATAATCTTTGTTTGGTTCAATTCCCTTATCGCTGACTATATATCCTAAATAATTTATTTTATTTGCGCCAAATGAACATTTTTCCTTATTTAAAGTAATTCCATATTCATTTAAAGTTTTCATTACTTTTAATAAATTTTGATCATGTTCTTGTTTATTTCTGCCACTAATTAAAATATCATCTGCATGTACGGTTACAGAATTAACTCCACAGACGTCTATAATCTGATTTAAAGTTTTCTGAAAAACTTCTGGCAAAGAACATATTCCAAATGGACAAGTTTTATAGGCAAATCTACCGAAAGGACTTATAAAAGTTGTTAAAAGTTTTGAAGATTCAGAAAGCTTTAACTGGTGGAAACCTTTGGAACAATCTAGTTTTGAGAACAAAATTCCATCTTCTATTTTAGCTAACGTTTCCTCAACTGATGGTAACTGATAAAGTTCTCTTTTAACAAATTTATTTAGATTTGTATAATCTACACATATTCGGATTTTATCACCTTTTTTTTTAGCAACTACAATAGGTGAACACCAATCGGTAGGTTGATCTACTTTCTCAATTATTCCATCATTTATTAATTTATTTAATTCTTGTCGAACTTTTTCTATTAGAGGCATTGGAATCCGTCTTGGTACAGATACACTATAAGGCTCTACATTTTCAGCTAATTTTATAGCATACTCAAAATTTTTAATTCTTCCAATGCCTTTAAACAAATTTGGAAATAAATCAGTTAAGTATTGTTCATAATTACTTACTTTTATTTCGTTGATAGGTGAATTTTTAACATTTTTGTTTATAATTAAATTTCCATCTTTCCATTTGATGATTTTCAATTTTTCAAGTGCTGGTCTTCCTAAAAGGTTATCGTTCGTATCTGCCACAAATATTTTGATCTTCTCTCTAATATCCCTGTATTTTACATCAACTTTAATTTTTCCTTTGGTATTAATCTTAGCATTTTCCCCAGCACCAACTAACATAACGCAAGTTTTATGTAATTTTGGTTTTTCTTTCAACATATTATAGGTAGCATATGATAAAACTGTGGTATCTGCACCAGTATCAATTTTAAAATTTACCATTTGTCTTTGGATTCCCAATTTTACAATATACGGAGCATTGTGATGTGTGCATATATTTCCAATAATTTTTATTTCATTACATTTATTTGGATTTTCAAATTCGTCACTGGATTCTGTCGAAGAATATGATAAGTCCTGACTGGTTGTTGGCATTACTGTTTGCTTATTTATTTCCTTAATACTTTTTGTTCTACAATATTTTGCGTAATGCCCTCTCATGCCACATTTTGAACATACAATCTTAAATGCAGGGCACTGCTGAATTATATGTTTATTTTTTGAACCACATCTTGAACATTTTTCATTTTTTTCATAATTCTTGAATTTGGTGAATTTTGAATTTTTCCTTACAGTATTTATTTCTCGATTTATTTCTTTGAAATCCAAAAACCTATTTCTCAATTCTCCGTTTTGTTTTTTAATACATTCAGCCTGATTGATTTTTGTTATTGTTGATTCAAGCGTCAAAAATGTATCCAACTGTAAAGATTCTGAAAGACTTTTATCCAAAATTCCAACCACAAGACGATCTCTTATTAATTCATTTTCTATAATACCATAATTACATTTTTTTGCTAATTTAATTACTTCTTCAATGTATTCTTGAGAGGTTTCTCCTTCGATTTGGTTTCTCAAATTGAATTTAGCCCGTTCATATATGATATTAACAGTTTTCTTAAAATATTTATTAAAATCGTCGATAAGACTCGTATAAGTTTGATAATCCTCTTCTTTTGTCTGCAAACGATCAAAAATTTTCCCAACATCTTTTCCCATAAAAAGTAGAACATTGTTAATTTGGGTATTTTCAGAGTAATTTTGAAGTTAATCGAGACTCGAAAGTTACTTAATTCGTCAAGCGTAAAATTGCGAATTTAAAAATAAAAATAAATATCGATTTCAAACAAGGACATTGATTTCAAACTAAATTATAACATGCTTATTATAATTTTTGTAATTTCTTCAAAATAGGGCTCAGCGAGACTAAAAAGTCTTGGCCTTGTTAACAAAACCTTGGTCTTGGCCTTGAAAAGAAAAATCGACTCAATATTTATTATAATCTGCAAATTTCTATGTCTACTTTTAATAAGGCTTTTAATTTAATCAATACTTCAAATTTATTGTTCCAACTTTCCAATCCACAAGTACGTATAGGTTATCTTTGTTTGTACAAATAATCTAATACCTACCTACTAAGTTACTAATCTACATACCTATATACCTTGCACAAATAGCTTTATACAACTACGCTCAAGAAAGTATTATTTTATTATGTTGTGAATTCTTAAACCTTCTTACTAATTATAATTTTTTCTTGGGTATAGGTTTATTAGTATAGAACAAAAAGGCTTTTTTCTAGTTAGCTTGACGTTTCGCCATTATTTAGTTGAAAGTATTATTGTTACAACACCCTCTCTTAATACTTTTCTTGACTCCTGAATACTTTAACAGTGTATTTAACAACCCGAAAATAAAATACTAACCTACATAAATTTTTTAAAAAATATGAAAATAAAATGTTACATGAAAAACTCATCAAGTATACCATCTCTAATTTATTATTTCATTTTAAAAAAAAATATGTTTAAATACTAACCTACCTTAAATTAAAAAAAATTGAAAATAAAATTTTATACAATAAAGCGTTCAAGTTTTCCCGTTTCTAAAATCATTTCATTCAAACAGAAATATATTGAAATACTAACCTACTTGAAATTAAAAAAAATATATGGAAATTAAATGTTATATAAAAATCTGTTCAAGTATAATGTTTTTTTTTTATGCCTTAGAAAAGTACCTACTAAAATGTGATGAAATATTTCAATTACTAGCACAGTAATTTGCTGCACTAAGACTTCACTGGCAAAATTACTGGCAAGGTGTATTTTTACTGGCAAATGTCAGTAACTACTGGCAGTTTGGCAACCATTCCGGTCTCCTGAACTGCCGTCAAACAATATAAAGAAAGCATCGCGCCAATCAATTTACGTGGGCACAATAAGCATTCCAACAAACTGCTTACTGGTACTTAATCGTGTACCCGTCCTTCTGCCACAAGGGACTTTCGAAGATGCGCCACGCTCTTGAAAATTTTTGCGCGATCCTCTGTGTTAGTAGCGTAGGCGTTGACGCTGCAACAGCTTTGCGCAAAACAACCGTACAGCTCGAACATCTCGCGCACTTGGTGTTCTTGTTGCTGCATGGTCGTCATCGTATCCAATGATGATGGTGGTGGTGGTGGTGAGGTGCCCAAAAGCAGACACGCCTGGTATAGTTCTGTTATATTGTTCACATATCGCGGCTGACCAAACCCGATCAGTGACAATCTCGTAACCAAAGTACGGAATTCCTCCACGTTCAATCTCTCTGGTTCACCATTTGCACCTGCATATTTCCTCCACAAGGCCAAGTCGTACCTGTGAACAAGAATTATGTAAACATAAAGTGTCACATGTACAGAGCTGTTTATTTATATTTTGAACGACATGTAACATTTGTTTGTAACACCACACCGTATGTAAAGTAAGAAGTGGAGAGACACATCCAATTTTCTGCTTTATAAGATAGCTGATTGCGGCGTTTGGAACAGAAAAGCTTACATACCTTTGGTTTCCTGCTTCCAGCCACCTCAATAGGCCATTTTGCATAGGGACCATTTTTGTGTATCTTTCACAATCAAAATAATCGTGAAGAAGTCGCTTCTGCCAAAACATTGGGGGACGGTTTCGAGGAAAACCAAACCCAATTTTTCCGCTATGTGAGTAGTCCTGCAACGCCCCTCGGACACTACCAGTACCTGTTGGTCCTCCAACCCTTTAATCAGTCTTCGGAGCTCGTCGTACAGCTTCGCAGGACTGGAAATGCCTGTGAAAACAAATTTAACTCTTCCTGTCAGTCCCGACTCTTTAATACCTTCCATGTTGTCGATTACGTTGGACAGGAATGATTTGTTTTCCAGTCCAAATACAGCCGGTTTTGAGATATTATCTGCCGCCATCTCCAAATTGCCGCACAAGGCGGCGCAAACAGAGTTCATTCCATGCTTCTGCGTAACATTACGCAGCTTGTGCGACTCTTCGTAAATCTGCAAAAAAAAAAATGAAAAAATCTATATCTATCTATAATCTATAATATATTATATAAAAGGTCAAAGAGTATTTTTGTCCGGCTCCTCAAGCGGAAACAATTCCACCGAGTAAGTATTTCGATAACTAGACCTGCTTGTCGCCACAGAGACCAAAAAGAAAGGACAGGGCTCAGAAAATCTTGGAGAGTACGATCATTTCTTTAGCGGGGTTCAAAAAGAATTCAAAGCAAAGAAAGGATTCGATCTTCATACACAGAAAATGGAGAAAACATATAACATCATGGGAAGCAGTGAACGAAACAATAATAAAACTAAATATATGTATGTTCAGAAGGAAAATAACAATTTTGGGAATATACGGTGTGAACGACGACGAACCCGTTAATTTAAAGGATCTATTTTATCAACAATCAAGTGACCAAATCATAAAAGTAGGAACTTCAAGGGAAATAATATTGCTGGGAGACTTTAACGGACGAACAGGAAGGAAAATCAACGACAAAGTAGTCGGAAAATTTGGAGAGAATGTAACAAATAATAATGGAGAAAGGCTCATAGCAATATGCCAAAAAAATAACCTAAAAATCCTAAACGGTTACTTTCAGCATAAAGAAATACATAGGTACACATGGAGAAATGAAACTAAACAACAAAAATCGATTATTGACTACACTATCGCAAAACAGAGCTCGAACATAAAATTCCAGGATGTGAGAGCATATAGGGGAGCGTCCTGTGGTAGCGATCACTACCTCCTTAAAAGAAAAATCTTTATCCTGGGCAGAAACACCGCAAAAGAAAATGGAATGGAAAAACAAGAAGACAATATTGTACCTGAGAAATACAACCTAAAATCTCTTTAAGAGCAAAGCGTAAAGGGGTTGTACATGAAGAGATTGGATCAAAAATTACAGAATAGTATAAACTTCTAAAACCTTGAAATGCATTACCAACATATCAAAGAGAGTATTCACAGTGCAGCATTTGAAGCCCTAGGCAAATATGAAAAAAAAATGGAAGAAGGCCCTCACCTTAGTGGTGGGATCAAGAAATAGAGCAAGACATAGCAGATAAAAGGAAGAAATACCAACAGTATCTAAGTTCAAATAAGATACGAGACAAAGAGAATTCATTTTTTTTACTTATAACTACTCGAATTTGGCACTTATTTGGCTCATAATTTTATTTCTGCGGCTGTACTGGTGTACGGGGTGTCCACATTTATAGGCTCAAATTTCAATAAGTACTATTAGGGATATTTTTAGAAAAAAAACTGATAGCAGATTCTTGTTTAGAATGGTCTAAAACCCAAATGTACTAATTTTTGGTTCAATACGATACAGGGTGATGACAAAAAAAAATCATAATTTAATGAATCAAACCACAAAAATGTTATATTTTAAGACAAGCTTACTATAAATTTTGGTAAAGAATGTTCTAAAACTAAGTTGTATCAAGTTTTGTTGTTCTCAAGGCCTCAAAATATGACATTTTTCCGGTTTGGTCCATTAAATTTTGAAAATTTGTTGTGATCACCCTGTATCAAATCGCAACAACAATTGGTACATTTGGGTTTTGGACCATTCTAAACAAGAATCTGCTATCAGATTTTTTCTAAAAAAATCCCTTATAGTACCTATTGAAATTTGAGCCTATAAATGTGGACACCCTGTACACCAGTACAGCCGCAGAAATAAAAGTATAAGCCAAATAAGTGCCAAATTCAAGTAGATATAAGACAAAAAAAAAAAAATTGAATCGGTTAAAAAATAAAAATTTTAGAAGGGTGGTCAGTCCTTAAGCGGGACACACTGTATAAGTATTTCGATGATTGGATAAACCAAAAATGGATGCGGCCTGGACTAGTTCGGATAAGTTTGAGTTATCTAACTAACCCAAACTAGCCCAAACTGACCCGGGGAAAGAAAAGTCATATACAAGACAGTGCTGACAATAGTGCTCACCCGATATCGGGAAAGCTAGCAACACATTGGAATCAGGATCTTTACGATACACCTTTGCTTGCGCTGATATACCGGGTGTGGCACGAAAAACTTTCCACCTAAGTTTTCTCAGGTGGTAGGTGTTTAATCAAAAATCGCTCAGACACGTCAATTTTTGTTTTTTGGAGGACACATTTTATTGGTATGTTCACCCCCTACCTGTGAACCCCTAAGTTAGGGTTGCCAGACCTCCTATTTTCAATATGAGACTCATATATTTTAACTGTTTCTCATATCTCATATTAACATGTTTAATATGAGACTATTTCGCATATATTTTCATCAAAAAAAAAGAAACCATGTATATCACTACCATACATGTGATAGGCCGAAGTCTCATGCGTCCCATCCGACCGTCCGATGGTACGACGGAGCTCCTATTGACTGAAAATTTTCCCGCCACTTTTTATCCGAATATTTTCAATTTTTTTCCGACGTCGTCGAATAAATAATATTTTACTTTTGTCGCTTTTGTACATAATAAATAAAAATGAAAGTAAAAACAGCAAAAAAAAAAAAACGATTTTCGGTCAGGGATTTGTTTGAACATCAAAAAACCCAAGGTATTGTCCATAACTTGTTACAATAAATGAGACCGACCGACGGATCAGGAGGAGTATTTAACTAGGTACCTACCTAAACGAATGTCCAGCAATACATTCCAAAATCTGCTAAAAATCATAGCTAATTGTCAAGATGGGAGCTTTTTCGGATTTGGGTATTTTGTAGTACATAAAATTTTCTCATATATTATTATCCAATCTCATATAATTTTATACAGGCTCTCCTATTTTCAGAACTCAAATATCTGGCAACCCTACCCTAAGTGGGGGTGACAGGTACCCACAAAATTTTAAATGAAAAGGGGAGTCGAGTGATACGTCATTTGATAGCTATTTTTATTAAGATTATATCTCCGAAGTTTCAAGTTGTTACTATTTACCTTGTCGAAATAGCGGCTTATCAAAGTTAGGGAAAATCAATGGAAAAATGCTGTGTGGTTTTTACCTGTTACTTACGCATAGGTGTGACAGGTAAAAACTATACAGTTTAGATTATCGAATAAAATCATTTATCCTAACTTTGACATGCCGCCATTTCGGCAGGATTGATAGTAGCAAATTAAAACTTCGGGGATATAATCTCAATGAATATAGCTACCAAATGACATATCGCTCGACCACTCTTTCCATTTGAAATTTTGAGGGTACCTGTTACACCCACTTAGGGGTTCACAGGTTGGGGGTGAAAATACCGATAAAATGTGTCCCCCAAAAAACAAAATTTGACGTGTCTGAGCGATTTTTGATTAAACACCTAACACCTGAGAAAACCTGGGTGGAAAGTTTTTCGTGCCCCACCCGGTATAAGTGCTTATAGACGGATGTTAAAAATATCTTGGTCGGAGAGAGTGCGCAATGAAGATGTGCTAACGAGAATGTCAAAAAATCTTGAAGTTTATGTTTACGCCTAAAAAGCGAAAGTTAGAGTACTTCTGACACATACTCAGGATGGACAAATAATTACCTCTCCAGTCCATAATCGAAGGCAGAAGAGGCCCTGGAAGAATATCTTGGCCAAAAAATTGGCGTCACTGGTATAACGAAACCAAGACAAGTCTATTCAGAAAAGTAGCCGACGAAGTACAGATACCGCTGATGATTGCCAACGTTCGTAGAGGACAAGGCACTTAAAGAAGCAGAAGAAGGTTGTCCAATGGAGTCTGAAATGCAGACTTACAAGTTTCAAAATCGAGATTTCACTGGAATGTTCAAGGACAGAATATATTGCCAAAACTGACTAGTTGTCGAATTTGTTGGAGGATAGTTATGAAGTTCACTCTTTTTATAATGATTTCTTTGTAGGCTGTTTTCAGAAACCCATATGCAAATTCTGTATTTAGATAAATTTACATTTGGGGCATTTATCTAATTCAAATGCAATATTTTTCCAGAAAATCATAATAACATCGAACTTCAAAAAAGAAAACAATCCGGATTCGTATTTGGAAAAAATAAAGTCAATGATGGTCGGTCAAAGACAAAGCATTAGATTTCACACTTTGCAGCACAAGAGTGAAAACAATAAACAATTACATTACAGCCGACGTACATTGGAAATTTTAATACACCGTGGACGAAACCTGCATAATAGTGATATAGGCAACTTATCCGAGCAGGACCGATGCCACATTCGTGAGCGATTGGAGGATTCAAATGATTGGGTATGCGGAAGGAGAACCAAGCGGACGTAGAGTTGTCGAAAATCTACCAGGTGGGTTGGTAGAGCTTCGTACTAGCGTTGCGATGGTCGCGGGTTCAAATCCCGCACTAACTCCAACTTTTTCAATTTTCTCTTGACATTAATTTTCACAAAATTTTCTTTAAAAACATTAGTTTCGTTATCTTTAACCGACTAAAAATTCTTTCCCTTGTTTAATAAACAATTAGGCCAAACTGCGAATCTGGTGGTTGACCTCGTAAAAACAGCCACCCAGTATATCCGCCACATAAAATTAAAAATTTAAAATGTCTTCTTGTTACCTGGAACATTTTGAGGTTATCCTCACAACCTGGATCAGTCAGCCTCAAAAGCTTCCCAACACACAGCCAAGAATGCGGAATATCAGGGTTCAACAATGTACTGACCATTTGAGTCGTTATCCTAATTTGGCCCTGCTTTTTATTCGGCCGCTCATTCCTTAACAATACTGGACCTTGATGCTTATTTTTGGATGTGGCTTCTTTTTCCTTCACAGGTACTGGCCCGAGAAGTGTTCTTCTTAGATGAAGAGCATCATCTTCCTCGTCACTACAGAAATCTTCTCCACTGCTCGAGGATTGTAGGGTAGTCTTTCTTTTAGCCAGTGCACATTGCACTGCTTCTCTGTTTTCCGGATTGTTTATTCCACTTTCTTTGGAGTCACGGCATCTACAAAATTTGTCAATGGACCATAAATCGCGCGTTTCATGAAACCTTTTTCCTATTACATGTAAAATTTTTTCAGGGATTATTTCGGTCATCATAAGCTGCCCTCGCCTGTGCAAGCCACAGGGTACGCACTGCAACCATTCACTCTCTACTGGAGCGCTTATTGACGGGTTTCGTGAAACACTTCTACAGCTCTGAAAAAAAAATTGCTTCCATAATAAGTAGGTATGTTACATAGGACGTTTTGAAATAGTTATTTATGTCATTAGAACAAAAATACCTTCTGAGCCGAATGGCATACATCATTTCATCTTCAAGCGACTGCAATATTACCTTTCACAACTATATAATATTTGGGACTTTGTTTTATTTTTATTTGTTTATTTACTAAATCTTAATGTCAAAGTGATAAAATGTTACTCCTATAACTCACTGCTAATAAATGGCGCCACGGCCGTTGGTGTGCGGAGCACTTCCTTCCTAAATAATAATAACAACTACTTAAAATACAGACACAAGCAAAATAAATATGGAAATTTGTGACTTTTGAATAAATCAAACCTCAGCATCAGAACAAAATTTAATAGTTCAAAAATCATCCCGACCACAGAGTATGAACCGATTGGATCAACATTGGATAGTTCTTGAACACTGGAACTTATTTTTAGTTCAAAAACATAATCCTAAACTTAGTCTAACTTTCATTTTTGCAATAATTTGATTTATAATAATGAACAAAAAAATTAGAACGGACAAATTATGCTCTTGAGAACTTCGTCTGTGATAGGCAAAATTAATTACAAGAACCTAATAGCGCTGATTGACACTGCTGCCTCTAGCGGAAAAAATCGAACAAATTACCGGATGCATAAAGATCTTTATGTCATACCAATACATTATTGTGTTTTTATACCTTAGATACCATCTATATAATTCATTACTTTATGCCCGTGCGGGCATAAAGTACACATTATGGCCCGCGCGGGCATAAAGACGCAAAAAAAAGTTTTCAATTAACTTATTCTTTATTAACAAAATATAAATTTACGCTTATAAACATATTATTTTTGTCAAAAAATGATGATTTTGAACACTGATGACAATTTGCAAAGTGACACTTTTTTCCCAGGTATTTATTATTCACAACCAACTGGTATGATATAAAAATTTGTATGCACCACGGGTACTAATAGATATATATACCCTCGGGCGACTTACGAACCCTCGGGCCAGAGGCCCTCGGCTTTGTAAGACTGTCGCCCTCAGGGCATAATCATCTACTTAGTACCCTTGATACATAAATAACTATTATGGTGCTAGGAACATAATGGATCACTAGTCACTTCTGTGTCTACTCGGATTTGAGAAATGAAATTCGAAGAATATTTAGCTGCTATCATATGGAACAAATATTGTATGGAAATCTGTATTGTGATTTTTTTATTTTTTTTTGAAGTTGATTTCTCAGAAAATTCCGTCAAGAAACAATTTTTTCAAATCCTTCCTACAAGCCACTTCTGTGAGCTGTTAGAGCTAATCTCAAAGTCTTGATGGTAGGTGATTAAATGATCTACTTTTGAATATTAAGGATTTGAATATTAGCATAAATGGAAAAATAGTGAAAAATACAATTTTATGATTTAGTTACCTTATATCCAAACACACAACAAAGCCACATCTGCTACATGACCAATGATAATTGAATAAGGTAGTTGCACAAACATAACACCTTTCCCTCACACCATGAACAAATCTTTTCAAGAATACTGTTTTATCTGAAAGGGAAAAAAAGACATATTTAAAATATGTATTTTACGAGTTAAAAAAAGAGAGATGTGACTCACCAACGGACTTGTTCACCGCAGAATCGCTAAAACATGTTCCTGCTTGTATTTCAATGGTCCAGCGTCATCCTACTTTGAATCACCCCCCCCCCCCCCCCACGGCAAGAAGTACTATTTTCGAGATACAGGAATTTTCATTATGGTTCGTAGTTCAACTTCAGTGTCGCTATGGTCCTGCCTTATTCTGCCTCAATTTTCACCCCAGCAACACCTAATATTTTTGAGTTACACACGGGTAGCATTACAAGAGTCTAGTCGTAGGAATAGGGAGAGCTCGAGACGACACCGCTGGAAAATGTTTCGTAATGAATACTAGTCTTCGTACTTTTTTAGACGAAAGGAGCTAAACTAAACTAACCCGTCCTCATAATGAATGCTAGCGTTTGTGTGTTTGATAGACGAAAAGAGCTAATCCAAACTAACCCAAACTTACCCGTTCTTAATATTCTTAGGAAAAAATAAAAGCCCTAAAAAAAAAAACTTAAAAACAATAAGCCCAAGTCCATTTGCTCCAAAAATCGAACGTTTTCCAACTAGGCCACAATGCCTCAGTAAGTACTCATAGAAACCGCAGCAACAACGTGCCCTTCACATGCAGAAACGCGTTTCAGCGATCCTGCTTCAATGTGTCGCCAAGGATGAAGTTAGCAATCAAAATAAACAACGCTTTACCTTGAAAATAGTAGGTACATGTTGCTGGCCTGTAATTAAGTGTAAAATGAGGCAGGACCATGAAACACAAGCAGGAACATGTTTTAGCCATCCTGCTTCCAGTGTGTTGCCGAGGGTGAAGTTAGCAACCCTAATAAAAAATCGATGTATCTCGAAAATAGTACGCGTTGCCGGGGTCAGATTTGAAGCAGCATGAGGCAGGACCATGGCAGCACAGGCAGGAACATGTTGCTAACTTCCCCGACATGCCCACCCGTCATTCTGATGCTTTGTGGTGTGTCTCAGGGCACTGTGCTGGGTCCACTATTCTTCAATGTTCACATAAATAGCATTTTGTCAATTGTTGACGACAGGATAGTCATTTGCTTTGCTGATGATACAGCTATCCTAGTTTTTTCGAGTTCTACCTTTTGGTTCAATATGGAAAAAGGAACTTTTCCGGAATACACCCATTTTTGAAGTGGCAAATTTCCCATCAGCGTGATTCAAAGAAGATATTTGCTAAAAGAAATTGGTATAGCCGATACTTGATGGAAATCCATTACAAATTTTGAAAGGAAACAAAAAAAAGGTTTCTAGATTTCCACAATTTAATTTTAATGATGCCGTAACATGTTTCAGCATACGGTGTCTTCTTCAGACGGGATAACTACACTAATATGCTAAGCTAGAATATACAGTGAGGGGCAGGCTACTAGGTATATAGGATATAACTTGACGAATTTTCAGGCGTCCGCATGTGGCAAAATGACAAATATATTTAGTGCTAAAGGGTCATTTACATCCACTTAACTTGACGTACGGAAAATTAATAATAAAAAAAAGTTGAAGATCACATAGTTGTTACATCCACTTAAAAATTAAGAAAATTAACGTGACACACGGAAAAGTTGAACCAACTTAAGAAAATCCGTGCAATAAATAATAATTTCCATTTCTGGGCATATAATTTGACTTGACAGTTCAGGTTATAAGTGCGCATACGTCATGTAAGATAATTTACTTCATTGTTAACAGAGACCTTCTCAGTTTCGTACGCTAGTTATAATTTTCCGTACCTTAAGTTAAGTTAAGTGGATGTGAATGACCCTTAACTCATGACAACCAGGTAAAAACAAAACGTGAAAAGACCTGTCACTCAAAAAACTAAGGCTAAAGACACAATGGCTGAGATACGTTTTCGGATACGAGACTAGGCCCGTAACTATGCGGACTACGAAACCACCGTATCTATTCTGCGCGTGCGCAGATCGATGCGGAGACGGATACATATAAAAATTCAGAATAAGCAAGTAGACACTTTAAGCAGGTCCTGAATTTCAGACGTATCTAACGCAGGATAGATAGTAAATACGGTGGTCTCGTTGCGTTGCGTTGTCCGTATCGTTACAGGCCTAGACTCGTATCTGTATCCGAAAACGTATCTCAATCATTTGACACTATTGAGGGATCTACCTGTCAGTTATTACTAAAATAACTTCAACAACATAAACACAGTACTTATAGATAAAAATAAAACCTACAAACACAGCTAAAAAATCAAAACAAAACTTTTTGTGGTTAAAAAACGTGTCATCCAAGGATACGATCGTTTACGTAATGTATGACCATGAAAGGACAAAGGACTTTTAGGCGGTCAACGTAAGTCGATGCGTTTACAGAAGCGGATACGTAGGAAAATTTAGGGTTTGCTTAAAGTGTCTAGTGATAACCAACGCTTAGCTATCTACACGCGTAAACTTAATTATAAATAAATAAAGCTTGACGAAATATCTGAAAGCATGGCGCAGACGCTACGTTTGCACAACGTTTTGTCTGCATACAGTTAAACACGTTGCAGACAAAACGTTTTGATCAGTAAGCCGAACCGTAGCGTCTGGACCGTGCTTAAGTCTATCGTACTGAAGTAAACAAACGTCAAAGTTGTTGAACGAACGACAGTGACAGGGGTTCAAACGGCTGCGGACGGTGGTAAATTCGTCAAGTTGGATCCTATATACCTAGTAGCCTGCCCCTTACTGTATAGAATATTGTATAGCAGGTAACAACATAATTAAAAAGGTATTAATTAATTAGGTATATAAATTTAACAATGGGGAACAATTATTTTTAGCATCCAATTGTTCATTCAGTAATATACCGGACCTTTTACTTTTATTAATTTCCATGATCTCAAGATAATTTAATTTCTTGGATTTATTTACTGTGTGAAAAATTTTAAAATCTGAGGCATAGTTATGATTCTCTGAATTTATATGTAATGCATAATGCGAAAAAGTGTTATTTTTCATGAAACTAGAGATATTTGCTAGTGAGTGTGATAGTAGTGGTCCTGAAGTACACAAAAAATCAACAAATATCTTCTTTCCAGTGAATTACCAAAATTGGTATAAAATTATTTGACACATACCAAAAGTATATACTCGAAAGGGTTACGCGCAACACACACTGGGGTATATGAGACCCCACGACCTACTAACACGCTTGTCAGTCATAAACTAATAAATGGTTGATCCTGCCTTTCGGGGTTTAGATAGTGAGGGACATAAACTAAATTTACATGGAGTCTTGAAACCATCGCGGAAGGTTCCGTTATTTGTCACGCCTTCAAACTTTTGTTGGGGTCTGGTAGACTTCAGTGTGTATACGGAAGGACAGAGTGTCCACTTAGTGCGATA